ATTTCTTCTCCAAACACGGCAGATGGCGAACACACTAGGAAAACACCATTGGGGCTTACCTAGCTCTGAATAAGCTACGGAATACGCAGACTTCCAAGGGGAGGTGGCTGAGATTCCAGCTGGGTTATCACCAGTGACACTGGACAACTGGCCGTCTTGGGGGGGGTTCTTTTCCAGCCCCAAAGATGTATTCCTCTCAAGTGCTTCAGAACTGGCAGGTACCCTTCCGTCTTCTTTGACTGACACCGCAATGTTCCATAAGGAGGAGTTTCCAGCTGCTTTTCCCAGGGAAGTATAGGCTCTTCCTTCTTCCAGGATGACTACAAACAGTGAAAGGTGCGCCATGTTTGCCTCATGGTCACATTGCTTGTCGCTTATGACTCTGAACAAAGTGAGATTCAGGCAAAGACAGAAGAAATGGAGCAGAAAGCGAGCAGAAATGAGACTGACAAGAGACCGAGAGGAATGCCCCCATGCTGAGTGTGAAGTCGGGTCTCATGATCCTGCCTGTTCTTCCTCGTGGGGACTACAGCTGGAATGGGGCAGTCTCTGTGTACAGCGAAGCCTTTGACCCCAAACCTCATCTGATGTTGTTGCCCAATTAATAGCAAAGGATTTAAGAAAGAATGTTTTGATCTTCAAATAAATCGGGGGTGGGTACGACAGTCCAGGCCTGTGAGTCAATCACTCTGGAGGTCAAGGCAAAAGAATATCAGGCGTTTGCGCTTAGCCTGGGTCATACAGCAAGACCTTGTCTAAAAAAATAATAAAGCTTCTGTGGGGAAATGTGCCATTACCACATATTAAAATTAATTCAGATCTGGGCTGAGGAGATGGCTTATTGGGTAAGGAGCTCACTTAAGGACCTGAGCCTTCATCCCTAGCGACCAAAGAAAAAAGGCAGCATGTGGTGGTGATTGGCAGAGGCAGAAAGATACTGTGGTTGTGTTGGCCAAGCAGTGAAGCCAACTGATGAGCTCCAGGCTCTATGGGAGACCCTATCAATGAATGGATGAATGAATGAATGAATGAATGAGTAAATAAACAACAGTAAACAAGCAAGCAAATCTGGGGAGTAATACATAACTACAGCTGACATCGACCCTGACCTCTGACCTCTGCAAAGCTCTTGAACACACACACACACAGAACAACAACAAAGTTCACACAGAGTCTCCTAAGTAGACCATCACCCACTCAGTGTGCATATGTTGAAAAACTAAGCACCTACTTTTATAAGACTCTGCATAGATTCCTAGGTTGTTTTGATCCATCATAATTTCCGGCATGGCACTAGGCATTTAGTAGCTATTCGGGCGATCAGTGATAATCAGAGGATTTTAAAAGGGAGTTTTTGGTTATTTTTAATGTCAAGAGCTTTCTTCAGGCTAGCTGACTAAACGCGTTCTGCGCCTGTGACACAGAGACAAAGAAAAGTTTCTACAGTGTTCCCCGGTGTAGCCCCAAGGAGCTCACCATCTAATAACGCTCCTTCGGGCTTTTACAAGACTGAGATGACCACTGATTGGGTTTTCAGGCTTCTGGGTTGAAGAGCTAAGTGAATTGATTCAGTGTGGAAGGAGCTCTGCAGAGCAGGCTCTGGACTTGAGCCCCTAAGCTGGAACCATGCTTCTGTTAACTATGTAGGGTTTTTTCTATTTTTTTATTGAATTTTATTGAGCTCTACATTTTTCTCTGTTTCCCTCCCTGCCTTTCCCCTCCTCGCTTCAACCCTCCCCCAAGATCCCCATGCTCCCAATTTACTCAGGAGATCTTGTCTTTTTCTACTTTCTACTTCCCATGTAGATTAGATATATGTAAGTCTCTCTTAGTGTCCTCATTGTTGTCTAAATTCTCTGGGATTGTGGTTTGTAGGCTGGTTTTCTTTGCTTCATGTTTTAAAATGACCTATGAGTGAGTACATGTGATAATTGTCTTTCTGTGTCTGGGTTACCTCACTCAAAATAATGTTTTCTAGCTCCATCCATTTTCCTGCAAAATTCAAGCTGTCATTATTTTTTCTGCTATGTAGTACTCCATTGTGTATATCTACCACATTTTCCTTATTGATTCTTTGGTCGAGGGGCATTTAGGTTGTTTCCAGGTTCTGGCTATGACAAACAAAGCTGCTATGAACATAGTTGAGAATTGTCCTTGTGGCATGATTGAGCATCCTTTGGATATATACCCAAAAGTAGTATTACTGGGTCTTGAGGAAGGTTGTTTCCTAATTTTCTGAAAAATGGCCACACTAACATCCAAAGGGGCTGTACCAGCTTGCATTACCACCAGCAATGCAGAAGTGTTCCCTTTTCCCTGCAACCTCTCCAGCATAAGTTGTCATCAGTTTTTTTGATCTTGGCCATTTTTACAGGTGCAAGATGGAATCACAGAGTTGTTTTGATTTGCATTTACAAAGTCCTCATCCTGCCCTCGTTTATACAGTGAGGATAACATAGAACCTGCTATAGAGGTGCCCTGAGACCCAAATGAGACAATGCACGCAAAGCCTCCAAGAAGAACTCAACCCCCAATGTGGATACAATTACATTACTGGGTAGTGAGAAGAGCTGGATTGATCCACAGCCCCACAGCCACACTCAGATGAGCTTCCCTCTCTCAGAACATAAATTCTATCCATGTCCCTCGCGCAGGCAGTTTTTAACAGCTGAATTTGTCACTAAATCATCAGGTATGACAGAAGATACCTAAGTAGAGTCCTTCTCTCTGTCTTATTTGGAACATCCCATTCTGTATTATCACCTACTTCGCTGACTCCCCATTCCTCTCGGCCCCCTAGAACCTGAATAGTGAGGGAAAAGAATAGGTTGTAGCAAATGCCTGTCATAAAATCGCAGTTAGGATCCATTACAGAACAAGGGAATAGCTTCAAATGGTTAAACAAAGGCACCACACAGACATGTTCGTGCAGCCCTGAGAAAGAGGAACCAACTTGTCTTCAAGGGATTCCAGGTCCCACACTGGGGCCTATAAGCTAAAAGCCTCAGCAGGTTTTGAAGTTTGCATCTTAGAGGGAGAATAAAAAAAAAACAAAACTAAACAACCTTGTTTTAACTTTTTAAAACTTCCAGCACTGGCAAAAGGAAGTCACCAAAGTCAATTACCAGATTGTTTTAGCTGTGGGATTTTAGATCGTCCCTCACCAGCTCTTTTGGGGACAATAATAACTTCCTAGCATTCTTCCCACCCGCTGGCATAAAATGAGTAATACATATTTTCCAGAGAGAAAAGGGGGGTATTTTTAAAAGGATACTTGAGTGCATACATGTTAGGTGCAATTCTGATTCATGCCATAGCACGGAGAAACCTGGAGGGGGCAGCACCGAGGAAAAAAGTCAGTCTCAAAAAGCACAGGCTGTTTGATTTCACTGACATGAAGTCCCTCTGAGGTCAGATTCACAGAAACAGAAGTAGCATGGATATTGCCGGGCTTGTGGGGAGGAAGAATAGGCAGTTCCTGTTTAGGAAGTATTGAGTGGTGTTGGAAAAATTGAAAAGGTCCTGGAGATGGTTGCCCACCAGCTTGATTGCACTTGAGACCACTGAGCTGAGCATTTAAAGAGGGTTGAAGCAGCAGTTGTATTTCCTTTCCACATGTGTCTCATCAGAGAAAAGAAGGTTTAGATCCAGTCATGGTTTATACTTAGGGTTTTTATTCCCCTGCGTCTCTTCTTCACCCATACAGTGAACAGCCTTCTTCTACAACATGGCAGCCACAGATTGTTGGATTGGAACACTGGGGGTGTTTAAGGTGGACAACACAGTAGAGCATGCATGCCCGTTCCTCTTTTTTTTCCCTTTTAGAATCACCTGTTGTACTTACTTTAGAATTTAAATTGAATACATTTGGACAAAGTCGGTATTGGACATGAAAAGTGGTTATAACAGAATGGGCATCAGAAAAAGAGTAAAGTCACACTCATAATAACTAGGAAGTATTTTTCTATCTGATCACCTGTGTTGGAATCCTGAGAATGCTATTCATTGAACACAGTTTCTACCTTGTGCCTGAAATTAACTCAGAACGAATCCTTAAAAAAAACAAAATGCGGTGATTTCACCTACATAATAAACACAAGTTGCCTCAATCTTACCAAAGGTTTTGAACAAATACATCAAACAATTACAGGTCAGTGGCTCTTAAGACAGAGCAGTGAGGCTCAGGGACACAGCGTTTCACACTTCCGGTAGGTTAGGGTTTTCCGTGGTAGACACCACTCCCTCTTTGTCATTTACTTATTTGTCGATGTCTTCTGTCCAGTGAGTTCCTTCAGAAATGGAGATTTCCGATTTGTATTTGTATTGTATAAAACTCAAGTTTTACGCTTAAGCACAGCCTAATAAGAACTGCCAAAGAACTGTTGCCTGAATTTAAGAATAGCAAGACATCTCCATTTGTGTCCTGAACCCATACAACTCTGTGATCACTTCCACTTTTTCTAAAGTATTGGGCTTCTCTGAGTCTAGCACTTTCTCTTCCATGCTTTGGGGCTGCTGCGCAGTGCCTGCTCAGAGAGGCCTCACAGCCACAGGATCGTGCCCAGCATCCAGGAGAGCAGCCTAGACACAGGCTCCATCTCCACACTCTGCCATTATTGGCAACTCTCTCAACTGAGCCACTCTCTTTCCTTTAACTGGTCTTTGGATTCATCAACTTCATGGTCTTTAAATAAACCCAGACATCTGTTAAGGTCTAGGGAAGCCTGCATGTCCTGTTTATGCAATTAGACTGTTTTTAATTGGTAAAATGGTCCAAATGGTAACTTTGATGTTGCGTGCTGTAGCGCCTGCACTATGGGACAGTATGCAAACCAGGAACCAAGCTGGAGACTTAAAAACATATGCACACAGAGACAGGGACACGGGGACATGGGTCATCCTTGATATAAGAGTACCAAGAATGCCCCCTTTATTGTGCTCAGGGGCAGCTTATACAGGGCTCTGGCCATTCCCCAGCTCTCGGGATCTTTCAGCGGCAGACCCGTCAGAACCCACTCCCCTGCCATCAGGGTCTCGTGATCAGAGCAGCTGCAGGCTGCTTAGAGCAGAGGAAAACAAGTTGTTTACAAGAAATTCCAGGGTCTGGTGGTCCGTAGTCCCCAACAGTGCAATTAAGAAAAATCTGAAGTATCCAGGAAAGGGGAGCAAAGCAGTGGATGAAGTTTCTCTTCCTCTTTGCACAGGCTGCTCTGCTCTGGGGCCATAGCAGGCTGATGGCCCTTTCTGTGCATATAAACAGACTTTACAATAAGTATTTTTCATCCGAGCTTCGGGGCATCTGCTTTGACTTTCCAGTTTGCTTTATTAATCACACTATCAGAAAGCAGCTCCTCTTGAAGATTCCCAAAGGAAGGGGGAAGAACCAAAGGAAGGGCAGGCGACTAAACAACCATGCCTTTTCCTGGGTACCATTCAGAGTTACTTTCTAAGAGATAGATGGGTTTTCCGAGTCAACGGGTTTATGCTGCAGCTGAAAATCTTGCTGTCAAAGTATCTCAAGCACCAACATGCCTGCCATTTCCCAAAGATGGTTTTTAAAGATACTGACATGGAATTCCAATTTTATTCGTAGTGACTTTTGGCTATTTTTTAAGACAGGGTCTCACTATGCAGGCTCTCCCAGTCTGCTGTGGAACCTGGGGTCGTCTTGCCTTGATCTGCTGAGCACTAGGCTCACGGTGTGTGCCACCACACCGTACTCACACTACTTCGAGTGCAGCTCACAGAAAGAAACCGTCTTTTATACCACAATACCGTGCACGCTTTCATGTTGATGAATTCATAGAATAGAAGCAACAGATGGTATTTCGCTCAGACATGCTTGTTCCAGTCATGTATATGCACCTCTTCTTTCTTGCCTCCTTTTCTTACTCCGGTTCTACCTTCAAGACGATAGTTAGAGGTTAGGTGTGGTGGTACACATCTTTTATGCCCGTACTCCGGAGGCAGAAGCAGGCGGATCTCTGGATCTCTGTGAGTTCAAGGCCAGCCTGGCCTACATGGTGAGTTCCAGGTCATCTAGAGCTGCGTAGTGAGACTGACTCAAAAAATGGTCCATTAGATGTGTGCCAAGACCCCCTAATAGGTCTTACCATGAAGTCTACAATGACTGTAGTGTTTCTGATGCCCAGTTACTGGGCTAAAACCTAAATCATTCATCCGGGGAACTGTCCTCCGGTACAAGAGTCCTTCTGCAAGAGTAAGAGGGTCCAGGTAGATCGGTTTCTCACAGCCTCAGAGGGAAAGGGCCGGATGTGACAACACAGAAAGGGATTGGGAGCCGTGTGGAAGAGCCTCAAGCCACGGGCAAAGCTCAGATCACATGTTTGCTCCTCAGTAGAAGTGAGGAACCCGATGTCAGCAAAGTTTGCCCTTCTTGGACATCACTGGAAAAAAATAATCAACTCAAACCCAATTTGGGCAATTAGGAGAAGAGGCAAAACTAGGAACCTCTGAGGTCCTGGTGAACATTTCTGCAAGGGGAGGGATCTGGATTTGTAACCACTTTCAGGAGAGAAACATCAGGAAATGTTTATGCTCACACAAGCCCTTACCTGTACTTGCCAGAGCCCGCCTGGCCGGTGGTGGGTGGTCTCACAATAACTTACCTTTTCTTGCTCTGTTGTCCCAGAAGCTGGAAAAGAAACTGCTGGAACCAGTTGTCTGCTTTCTTGGCTATTGTTTTCTTTGTGTCTATCACAGAGGTCTGAAGGAAGATGCCCTCTTGGAGCCTGTGCTCACAGCTGTCCGTGGTCAAAGCCAGGATGAAAGGGACCAACAACCACCGAGATCAGTCATGGAGGGAAGCCCACACATCACAGTGACAAATCCCATGCACCGTCAAAACACCAGTGTCTTTCTGTAGCTCGTGCTGAGATAATTGCATTTTCCAGGGTTCAGAAACCAAACTAAGAATCCACTTTCAAAGCAAAACAATGCCTGTCTGTGCAGACTTCAGGGCACTCCCTAATGTGATGTAGCTGTTAAGAGATTCATTCAACATGCTTATCTAAGGCATCCTCGCCCCTTTAAGGCAAGGTTTCTCATGCGCCACTCCTCACCTCTCACAGATTAATCTAATGACAAGAAGGTGTGGCTCTCTCTCTTGTACCTCATGCAGGTACTCGTGTAATAACGAGATTGTTGTTTCAGAATAAATAAGGAAATCGCCACCACTGGGAACCATGGGTGCCAAACAGAACAGGTTACAATTGCCTTGAATTAAAAGACAGCATATTAGTCTAGGGGTCAGGTTTAAATATCACTTTTTCTAAAGTTCCCTCAGCATATCCCAAGCTGAGGACAGTCTTTATTCCCAAGATCACCTCCTTCAAATAACTCCATGCATTAGCGCCTTTTCTATTGCTATGATGGAACGTTATGACCAGTGCAACCTACAGAAGGCAGGGATCATTTGCCACAAATGGTTCCGGAAGGATATGGGTCCATCCCCATCATGGTGGGGAAACAGGGCAGCAGGCAGACCTGAGAGTTGGAGCAGATGCTGAGAGCTCACAAACAGGAAGTAGAGAGAGTGCCTTGGCAACCTCACATGACTTTTGAATCCTCAAGTCTGTCTTAGGGACACACTCCCTCCAACAAATCCACACCTCCTAAGCATCCCGTTGCAGAGCTACCAACTGGGGACCAAGTGTTCAAATGCCTGCGTCTTATGGGGCATTCACACCACAACACTTCACTTCTGAGATTCAGCAAACAGAGTCTCCTCCCCCTAGAGGGCAACCGTTCAAGTCTCTGTATTTTATCATGTGGATAACATTCTGTGTTTCTGAGCACACTGACTTTACGTCACCCACTTCTTCACTAGCAGATGGGGTTGTACTCTAACTGCCGGCTCACTGATAACAGTTTCTACCTTGTGAACATTCCTCAGACAACAGGAGAACCAAGCTAAAGATAGCCTCCTAATCACCCGAGTCAGACTTTAACTAGAATGGTGAAATGTAAGTTTCTGAAAAGCAGTCGTATCATGTGAATGAGACTTTGCTGAATTTTCTAAGAAACCTCCTGTGATTTGGCAACACAAGTTAGCAATGGCAGTTTCACCTGCCTGGAATTAAAACCTCCCCTTCCAGCAGCCTTAAATAGCATGGACGTGCTGTCTTACTTACCCTGAAGTCGAGGGACAGTATAGGTTCCAGGAAAGATATGGTTCAGGGAAACTCTGTTATATTCCCAAGGACACAGGTCTCTCTGCTTTCCATTCTGTAACATGAAAAGGCTTGCTTGTTTGTAGGGGTTTTCTGTCAAATCACACAAAGATCTCTATAAGTTATAATGCTGATTGGCCCGTTAGGTCAGGCTTCTTACTGGCTAACTCTCACATCTTGATTAACCCATTATTCTGATCTATGGTAGCCATGTGGCTCAGTACCTTTTTCAGTGGGGCAGATCACATCCTGCTGCTTCGGTGATCTGGGCAGCAGTGGGAGGAATCAACTTCCTCCTCCCCAAAATTCTCCTGCTCTCCTCGCATCATTTCCACTTCCTCTCTGGTTTTCCCGCCTACGCCTCCTGCCTGACCAATCAGCGTTTATTTAAAACATGATTGACAGAATACAGACAATTCTCCCACACCACTATTCTGCTACCCTCAGTTCCAGCTTCAAGGGAAGGCTCCTTCTCTTCCAGGCACTAAGATTCACACCACTCATCTCAAGCCACACATTTCATGTTCACCTCTAGAAGGAAGTCCCAAATGAAAATGGCCATTTCCAAAGCCCTCTCTTCTAACCTGGTTGGGTCAGTGTGAGCTAGGTGCTCACAGATGAGATAGTAAGAGTTGTCAGAATTCCACATACTGATTGCAGCAGCACTGTTGATGTTTCGGGCTGGTGATTGTTTGTTAGCAATGGCTGCTTTGTAAACTGTAAGGTGTTTAGCATCCCCATGCTTTTTAGCACAGAACCTTCACAAGTCATGAGACATGAGATTGACTCCAGCTATTGCCAAAAGTTCCCAAGAAGAGGGGCAAAATCATTCCAATAAGATAGACTAGACAAGTTACTTACCGCCTCTTCTGTCATTTGTAAAATGAGAGTCTTAATAGGAGCCCTCTTGAATGAACATTATCAGAATTAGTAGTTAACTTATGCAGACATGTAGGGTATAGAAGGCAGATTATAAATGCCAACTGTCACTCTCATCTATTAATTAATATCTGAAATATAGGATATACTAAATAAACCTTTTCCAAATGAATTCAGTAGAAAATTATTTAGATCCGAGCAATCTCCTCCAGAGCAGGCCCAAGCCAGTAACCTCCACAGGAGCAGGCCTGAGCCAACCACCTCTGCAGGACCAGGCCTGAACTAGCAAACTCCATGGGAGCAGGCCCAGGCCAGTGACCTATGAGGGACCAGGCCCGAGACAGGGACACTGCAGAAGCAGGCTCAAGGTGGTCACCTCTGCAGAAGCAGGCCCAAGTCAGCAATGTCCACAGGACCAGGCCCAAGCCAGCAACCTCCAAGGGACCAGGCTCAGGCCAGAAACCTCTGCAGGAGCAGGCTGGAGTCAGGGACATCTGAAGGAACAGGCCCAAGCAAGCAACCTCTGTCAGAGCAGGCCTGAGCCAGAGACCTTCATGGGAGCAGTCCCAAGTCAACCATTTCCTTCAGACCAGGCCTGACCCAGCAAAATCCACGGGAACAGTCCCAAGCCAGGGACCTCTGTGAAAAAAGGCCCGAGCCAGCCACCTCCATGGGAGCAGGCTCAAACAATCTCGGGAACACGGAGTGACCTCCAGAGTGACTGGAACCCGTGGCCTTGACTGCACCATGAGGAGCAACCAGCTGAGCCTTGAATTCACTGACACCTGGAAGACTCAGAGACACAGTCCCAACTACATCAATGAGAGGAAAGACGGATAGACAAGGTAAGAGCACATTCAATGCCACAAAGAGCAACACGATATCAACAAAACAAGTGGCTCTAAAACAGGAAGACTTGAACATCCTTACACAAATGAAGCAGAAGAAAATGACCTAAAATTAAATTTTAAAAAATGTTTAAGGACCTTAAAGAGGAAAGGAAAAAGTCTCTCGAAGAAATGGAGAAAAAGACAAACAAAATATTGTAATAAATCAACAAATTCCTTGAAGAAAACAAAGAAAAAGCAATCAAGCATGTGAAAGAAATGATTAAAGGCTTAAAAACTGAAATATAAACAATAAAAAAACACAAATAGAGGGAATTCTGGAAATGGAAAATATGGAAAAATGATCAGGAACCACAAATTCAAGCATAAACAGCAGAATACAAGAGAAGGAAGACAGAATCTCAAGCGTTGAAGATACAATAGAGGAAATAGACTCATAGGTCAAAGAAAGCATTAACAAAAGCTTAACACGAAATACCCAGGAAATCTGGGACACCATGAAAAGATCAAACCTAAGAATAATAGTGATAGAAGAAGGAGAAGTTCAACTCAAAAGAACAGAAAATATATTCAATAAAAATCATAGAAGAAAGCTTTTCCAAATTAAGAAAGATATGAATATAAAGATACAAGAGTTTACAGAACACAAAATAGACTGGACCAAAAACAATAGTCCCTTTGCCACATAATAATCAAAATACTAAACATACAAAATAAAGAAAGAATGCTAAGAGCTACAAAGGAAAAAGGCCAAGTAACATATAAAGGCAGACCTATACAAACTACAACTGGCTTCTCAATGGAAACAATGAAAGCTAGAAGGTCCTGGCCAAGCATTATGCAAATATTAAGAGTTCACTGATGCCAGTCTGGACTGCTATACCCAGCAAAACTTTCAATCACCATAGATGGACAAAACAAGATATTCCATGACAGAACCAGATTTAACCAATACCTAGCCACAAACCCAACCCTTCACAAAGTGCTAGAAGGAAAACTAGTACAAAGGAAGTTAGCTACAGCCACAAAAATATAGATAATTGATGATCTCACAGCAGCAAATCCCAAAGAAGGAAAAAAATACAATATCATCACCAAGCAAAAAATCTACAGTAACAGGAACTAGCAATTGCTGATTGAATATACCTTAATATAAATGGACTCAACTCACCTATAAAAAGACACAGGATAACAGACTAGATAAGAAAACAGAATACATCCTTCTGCTGCATTTAAATACACTTCAACCTCATAGACAGACATAGTCTCAGAGTAAAGGGTTCAGAAAAAGTTTTCTAATCAAATGGGCCTAAGAAACAAGCTGGCATAGCTATCCTAATATCTAACAAAATAGATTTGGGCACTCTCGCATGTAAAAGTAACACTACTAAAGCTTAAATCACACATTAAACCTCAAACACTAATAGTGGGAGACTTCAACACCCAACTCTCATTACTAGATAGGTCTGCCAGACAGAAAATTAACAGAGAAATAAAGCAACTGACAGATGTTATGTTACTTAACAGACATTATAGAACATTCCAGCCAAATATAAAAGAATATGCCTTCTTCTCAGCATCTCATGGAACCTTCTCAAAAACTGACCACATACTAGGTAACAAAGCAAATCTCAACAGATTAAAAAAATGGAATAACCCCATGTATCTCAGCAGTTCCCCATGGCTTAAAGTTAGAATTCAATAACAACTCTAATTTCAGAAAACCCACAAACAAATGGAAATTAAACAATGCTCATCTGAATCATCAGTGAGTCAAGGAAGATATAAGACTTTTGAAAATTCAATGAAAATGACCACACAACATACCCAAATTTATGGGACACAATGAAAGCAGTGTTAAGAGAAAAGTTCATAGCACTAAATGCCTACATAAAGAAGTTGGAAAGAAGTTGGAAAAATCCCACACAGAACACCTGAAAACTCCAGAACAAAAGAAGCAAACTCTCTCAGAAGGATTACACAACAGGAAATAAATTGAGAGCTGAAATCAACAAATAGAAACAAAGAAAATAATGCAAACAAACAATGAGACCAAGAGTTGGTTCTTTGTTAAAATCAACAAAATAGACAAACACTCATCCAAACTAACCAAAAGATAGAGAGAGAATATCTAAATTAACAAAATCAGAAACAAAAAGGGGGTCATAACAACAGACATGGAAGAAATCCAGAGAATCATCAGGTCATTCTTCAAAAACCTGTACTCCATAAAATTGGAAAATTTAAAGGAAATGGTCAATTTTCTGGATAAATATCACTTCTTAAAATTAAACCAAGACCAGATAAGCAAATTAAATAGACCTATAGCTGCAAAAGAAATATAAACAGACATCAAAAGTCTACCAAACAAACAAACAAACAAAAAAAGCACATGACCAGATGGTTTCAGGGCAGATTCTACAAGATTTTCAAAGACAAACTAATACCAATACTACTCAAATTGTTCCACACAATAGAAGCAAAAGGAACATTGCCAAACTCTTTTTATGAGACTTCTATTACCCTGATAACCAAACCACACAAAGACATTACTAAGGAAGAGAATTACAACCCACTCTCACTCATGAACATTGATGCAAAAATACCCAATAAACTAAACCCCAACCCTAACTTCAACATTAACAGAAAGAAACAGAATGTGAAGTTCATTCTGATGTTTTTCACTCTTGCTTTAGTTCAGTATTTCCTTACTATGTCCCTTTCCTCCCTTTTGGAATGGTAAAGTATATTCTGTGCCATTGTATATTGAAAGTACATGGTTTGCTTTTTGCTTTTGATTTTACAAGGAGTTACAGTTTAAGAGAATTCTAAGAATCTCAGAAGAGACTCTGAAATTTGAAATTTTAACAGTGCTGATACTGGTAGACTATGGGGACTTCTGAAGTTCAATTAATTGCACTTCTACATCGCGGTAGAGCTACAAGCCTAAGGGCCCAGGGAGTGGAGAGTGGTGGTTTGAATAAGAATAGCTCCCACAGGTTCTTATATTTGAATTCTTAGTCACCAGGGAGTAAAACTCTTTGAAAGGATTAGAAGGATTAGGAGGTATGGCTTAGGATGTAGCTCTCAGATGCTACTCTAGCACCTACCTTTATGCCGCCATGCTCCCCACCATGATGATAATGGACTAAACCTCTGGAACTGCAAGCAGGTTCCAATTAAATGTTTTCTTTCAAAAAGGAAAAAAATCCAAGAACACATCAGAAAAATCATCCACCATAATCAAGTCAACTTTATCCCAGAGGTGAAGGGATGGTTCAACATACAAAAAAATCTGTCGTTATCAACCATATAAACAAAATGAAAAATAAAAACCACATGATCATCTCATTAGATGCTGAAAAAGCCTTCAACAAAATATAACATCCCTCCACGATAAAACTCTTGGAGAGAGTATGGATACAAGGAGCATACCTAAACACAATAAAGGCAATATACAGCAAGCCAACAGCCAACATCAAACTACATGAAAAGAAACTCAAAGCAATCCCACTGAAATCAAGAACAAGACAAGGTTGTCCACTCTCTTCATATCTATTCAATATAGTATTTGAGGTTTTAGCTACAACAATAAGACAACAAAAGGAGATCAAGTGAATACAAATCAGAAAAGAAGTCATATTATTACTGATAATATGGAAATTTACATAAACAATGCCAAAAATTCTACCAAGAAACTTCTACAACTCATAAACACTTTCAGTAATGTAGCAGGATGCAAGATTAACTCAAGAAAATCAGTAGCCCTCCTTAACACATGATAAATGGACCGAGAAAGAAATCAGAGAAACATCACCCTTCACAATAGCCACAAATAGCATAAAATATCTTGGAGTAACTCTAACCAAACAAGTGGAGGACTTGTATGACAAGAACTTTAAATCTTTGAAGAAAGAAATTGAGGAAGACACCAGAAAGTGGAAAGATCTCCCATGCTCTTGAGGAAGGTAGAATTAACATAGTAAAAATGGCAATCTTACTAAAAGCAATCTACAGATTCAATGCAATGCTCATCAAAATCCCAGCAAAATTCTTCACAGACCTCAAAAGAACAATACTCAACTTCATATGGAAAAGCAAAAAACCCAGGATAGCCAAAACAATCCTATATAATAAAGGAACGTCTGGGACTGACAGGAGGACCAATGGGACCAAATCGTAGATACAGACAGCAATCCACACACCTTGAACACCTGATTTTGACAAAGAAGCAAAAAATATAAAAGAAAGCATATTTAACAAATGGTCCTGACATAACTGTATAACAACATGCAGCAAAATAAAAATAGATCCACATGTATCGCCATGCACAGAACTCAAGTCCAAATGGATCAAAGACCTCAACACAAAACCAACTACACTGAACCTCATAGAAGAGAAAATGGGAAGTACACTTGAACGCATTGACACAGGAGACCACTTCCTAAATATAACCCCAGTATCACAGACACAGAGAAAAAAATTAATAAATGGGATCTCCTGAAACTGAGAAGCTTCTGTAAAGCAACAGACATGGTCAATAAGACAAAACAGCAGCCTATAAAATGGAAAAGATCTTCACCAATCCCATATCAAACAGAGCATTGATTGATGTGGGAAGTCCTTTTGTTCATGTGTTGCTTTTATTGGTTAATGACTAAAGAAGCTGCTTTGGCCTATGATAGGGTTGAGTAGAGCTATAGGGAAAACTAAACTGAACTCTAGGAGAAAGAAGGTTGAGTCAGTGAGAAGCCACATAGCTACCAGAGGAGACAGACTCTCTGCTGGAGCCTGCCGAAACTTTGCTGGTAGGCCACAACCTCATGGTGATGCACAGATTAATAAAGATGAGTTAGTTTCAGATATAAGAGATAGCTAGAAATATGCTTAAGCTATTGGCCAAACACTATTGCAAATAATATAGTTTCTGTGTGATTGTTTCATGGTCTAGGAAACTGGGAACAAACTAACAGCTACCTACAATAGTTGATCTCCAAAATATGCAAAGAACTCAAAAAATAGATCATCAAAAGGACAAATAATCCAACAATAAATGAGGTACAGACCTAAACAGAGAACTCTCAACAGATGACTCTAAAATGGCTGAAAGACACTTAAGGAAATAATCATCATCCTTAGCCATCAGAGAAATGCAAATCAAAACAACTCTGAGATTCCATCTTACACCTGTAAGAATGGCCAAGATCAAAAATACTGATGGCAGCTTATGCTGGAGAAGATGTGGGGTAAAGGGAACACTCCTCCATTGCTGATGGCAGTGCAAACTGGTATGGTCGCTTCAGAAATCACTTCATCTATTGGCCAAGTTTAGGGCCTAAAAATATCACAGGTGGCAAGGTGACTGTCCAGTTACAGTGCTCCTCAGACAACACCAATGGCACTGGGGTACAGGGAGGTCAGATCCCAGAACTCATATTCTATGCTTGAGCCTTCCTTTCCTTGCGCATCATGAGGCACCCACATGGGCCCTCCTTGCCTGACGCTTAGCTCATCTCCAGATGTGTGGTCAGCACAGGTAATTTGTAATGAATGAAGCAGTAGGCAGTTTCTAATATCTTTGAACCTTTTAATTATGTACAGGCTAAAATGTAACATTCCACTTTTAACTATATGCTTAGAAGAGCCAAGTTCTTACTCAGGCTTTGTGGTCTTAGAGTTGTGTCTGTATGCCTAGGGAAATCATGTGCTTCTCCAAGTGCCCACCAACCTCCACTTTTGGACCTCTGAAGAAGATTTTGGATTGACTTGAATTTCCTTTGATGAGTCGAAGTATGTATTCTAAAGTAATATCATCAAGTTATTTTTCAATGAAACCCTTCCCTTCCTCTCAAAATAAATAAAAACAAAAAACAGGTAAACCTCAGTGTACAATTTTGAAAGAATATTTGCTTTATAACAAGTAAACTTAGAAAGTAAACAGGCCAGTAGTTATGTTTGACTCTGTTCTTTTACATCTGTTGCTTCTGGGCCTTGCTTTTATATTCTTTACATGTTAAGTTCATATATGTGTTTCATATTAAGCAGTTCTCACTCTTGGTGTAAGGAATTGGCTTTTGTTTAGGCCTTGACTCCTGCTGCAAAGCAGACTTCTGTTCTTTCAGTTTAGGAGACAAGATACCAGAGTGCAGCTACTTCACTGAGAATTGATGGAGTTAGAAAATTTTCTTGTCAACAGAAAAAATAAAGTTGCAAACCTGCTAATTTATACTAAATGGGTAAAAGGGAAGTCTGAAAATGTCCTACACAATGAATAGTAGCATTTTTTAATAGACTCATACACAGTTTGAAAAAGCTACTTCTTGCCTGGTAGTTTTCAACAGCCCCCAGCGCTCTCTCTCTCTCTCTCTCTTTCTCTCTCTTTCTCTCTCTCTCTCTCTCTAGGCTTGTTAAGCCTTACTGCATAGGACTTGTGTTACTCCCTGCTCCCTCCCTTGTTAGAAGAGGACTGAACAGTGGAGGTATGGGGTAATGGTAGCACTACTTGTCAATGTGATAAAGTGCTTTTTATGCTTTTTTTTTTTTTAAAAAAAATGGAACATTCTTTCTCTGTTCTTTGACCATACATGATCTTATTTGTTGATTATGAGCAAGTTTCTGGACTGCTAGAACCTGGTCTCTGGCCATCTTAAAGTGCCAATATATGCCTGCAGGGTTTTTGAAAAATGGTTCGGAGTGACACTGGGTTATACCGAGTACTCACCTCATCAGCATCCCATGCCGCTCTTATTTGTCCATGATAACGTAAGCAAAGAGGAAAAAGCTCACAGACAACTTCTCCTTCCATGATGGCTTGTGTTGGCTTAGTGCCTGTGACCCTGGTAGTGTCCGGTGTGGTCACGAAAAACTGAAATATCCATGTGTCTCTGGGCAGCTTTTCTGCTTAGCATAGTCCTGAGATGGCTCCCTGCCACCCAGAGTGTGGTCCCTGGCCGCCTCCTTTTCCTGTTCTGCAAGCCCAAGTTGGCTTCCCTGGAGCAGGGGCTAGTCCTGGGGTGTGTGTGTCTGTCTGCATATGCAATATGCGCATGAAAGAGTGCTTACCAACTCAAGAACTGTCTCCTCCCTGCCTGACTAGTGGTGGGTGTGTCAGAAATGCCTCCCACCTACCCCCCCACTGCTGGTGCCAGCAAGGCCCAATGAGTGACTGAGTCCATTCACTGTGCTTCTGGGCCACTTCTTCCCTATAGATATGGGCTTGTGGCCTTTGGCCAGCTTTCCTGGTGGAGGAGAGCAATGGATTATGGGAAATGTTTTAATCATTTTGCCATTACTTACATCTGTTGACATAGGTGACCAAAAGCTGTTATTGGTGACGAGATGAATATTCCTAGGACTACTTTATGAAATGATCCCTCAATTGTTTCCTAGTAAAAAAGATGACAGGTTGTAGTTTTGGCAAAGCATCAATAAAATAAAGGTACATTGTCAATTAAAATTACTTCTACAAAGGCTTTTTGTTTTAAAAATTATGGTTAAACATTTCAGTAACTCATAGCTACCATACAAATTGGTAAACCTGACCAGAAGACACTTACTGTTAAGCCAGAGGAGAAGGAATTTTGTTTAGCACTAATCTAATCTAGTCCTGTCAGATAGTTGGGCTGGGTGTGATAGCCTTAAAGGGGCAGCATCCAGCCCAACTCTTACTGTGACTCAGCTGCCCTCCATGTGGCGTGGCAAGTACAGTTCACTGAGGATGGGAGAGCATAACTTATATTAGTTAAATTATGTTTCAAAAAAGGACATGTCCGCTTTCTGACCTCTGCTAAGAACTGTGGGTAAGACTGGAAAGCTGGGCCTAAACTGAGAAATTTTATGTTCAGAGCCTGTTCTCTTACCTGCATTTTCAGCAAAATTAAAGGTAATGCTCTTGCTTTGGTTTTCTTTGGTAATTTTAAACTCCGTAGTTTGTAAAAATAGGAACCATTGTTCTATTTTTTTTTAAGTTGTTTGTAAAATACAACTTTACTAAGCTGAAAACGCTGTAGATGCTTTTCCCAGCATACCTGGAAGTCTTCATCATTGCTCATACTGGGGATAAGGGTAACTAGGCTAGCAGTTCTAATGCAACATTCTTTAATCATGTCATAAGATAGTATTTAAGTAAATGGTCTCATTTGTACATAATTATTGCACTGAACTGTCTTTTTTAAAGGTGTTTAAATAAGCTAGCTAATTCAGTACACTGTAGGCAACTGTGCATCAGTGTGCTTGACTTCAACAGCTTACAGCATCATTTATGAAGTAAAATGTATAAATATGAAGTACCTCATGTTGAATGTTATTGTACTGTATTTTTAATGTAACAGTGCAGATCTTGTTAGACATGAATGTGTATAATCATGTTAAATGCAAATAAAATAAAACTGGTTCATAAAAAAAAAAATCACAGGTGGAGAAGTGGTGCGATCATTACAAAGCCTTTCAGGCAAGAAAGGCGATGGCACCAGTACTGCTTCCTGGCCATCTCAGTGAGTGAGCAAAACAGAAGAAGGGAGTAGCCGGGCAGACAAGGCAGCAGAGATATACCATAAGAACATTCCTGAACTCTATAAGCACGGTGGTTAGAACACGCAAGCACTATTTAAACTCCACTCTCAGGTCTTGAAAAAGATTTTATTGCTATTTGTGAAAAGGTCTCCCTCAGGTCAAGGATAGCCTAGCAGCCAGTATATAAGCCAGGCTGGCATTAAGTTTGTGGCAATCTTCCTACTTCAGCATACTGAGTTCTAGCACTATGGTCATGAGCCCCCATACCTGGCTTTAGGTTTTAAAACTAAACACTTTATACATTAATCTTTAAGAACCAAACAAAAATGAGAAGGGAGGAGTCACTAGGTAAGCAGTATTAGAATCAGAAGATGACAAACTGAATAGTTTGAGGAGGGGCGTGGGAAAAAGCAAACTTCTTTTCACAACAGAGAGCTGCGTTACTGGGTGCCATAACCAAATCCCACAGTGTGTGGTCTCGCCAACAGAAATGTGTTTTCTCACAACACTGCAAGGTGGGAGCTCTGGCTCCAGGTGCTGGCTCTTTGGGTGTCTGAAAGGACTCTCTTCATGTCCTAAGGAGCCTGCCCTTAGCACCCATTCTGGGGTGTCTCCTTTTCCTCCGGAATCCCAAGTCAAAGGCACCATCTCGAGACACAGCCATATTGGAGGGCTGGGGCTTCTGCTAATACGTATAAATTTTGAAGTTTATGATTCTACCACTTTATAATGGAAATCATTGAAAGAGATAAAATGCCAACATGAAATGATCCCTTGTTTTGAAGTCAGGTGACAGAATTTCAGAAGAAATTGCCAAGAGCAAGACGGGAGCTGGGAGCAGAGATCTGACAGGAGCTGATATTTCTTCTGCTGTATGCCTTGTATATAGTCCTACTGGCCTTTAACACTCAGGAAATACATTGCTTTGTCTAAAATACAAATTTTATTGACTTTAAAATAAGTGACCCCTAATAAGTATTATCCGCCTAATACAACTCAGCTCCTCCATGAAGCTCCAATGGATTGATCAAGGCTGGAAAGAAGAGAAAGAATTGGGATGTCTTGTCGTTTACTGTCACACTCAGAGCACTTTTGAGAAGGAACGGACGCGCGATTGGCAATGACATGAACTAGTAGGCACGAAAGGATCGGTCCCAGATACACAGGGGTTTGCATCCAGGCTCCTGAGGAGATAACCGAGGTTTGATCCTGTAGAATAAATCATGGTAAAGGGGGACCTTGATGATCACAGTGTAAGAATTGGCCTCCGTTCCAGCCTGTGGGATGGCAGATACACAGATAATTGCAAGTGACGGCCACAAGAGACCAAAGCAATAGAGGAAGGTACCCTTGACAAGTCCACTAAACATTTCCAGCAAGATTCTTCATCTCTCCAGTCTTCATTTTATCCTCTAAAGATGTTTGCTGAAGAGCTCACCGCATTCTTCTGACACTGAAGTTTAAAGGCAAGCAGCAAATCAGACAAAAGCCAATGTGCACAGAGTACAGCAAATTAAATTCTCGTCTCCAGATTCCTAACAAAAAAGTGGAATTTCAGCTTTGAAAAATATGGCTGAGTGTAAAGTAATTCACCAAACAAGAACTGAATCCACAAGACCTATTGAAAATGTTTAGCCTGATTAGCAGCAGGAAGCTTTCTTCCAGCACAGATCTTAACAGGTGCAATGTAATTCACTACAACAACAATTATGAACCACTGATCATTTACCAGGCCAACACCAGGTACTAGGGACATTGAGATAAAGAAGACAGCACAGGCCTCTGACACACAAAGAGCCTGGAAACTTCTGGGACCCACAAAGCCACAGAGTTTTCTTGGAGAGTTGATAATCTTGTAGAAAGGGCAGTAAATGAAAACCTATCCAGTTACCCAATGCTTGACCCCAGCATCCTCACATGTCAACACCATCTGCTGTAGAGAAAAGGACAGTTTCTCCCAGTTGTCACCCAGCCAGCTGGGAGGTAAGCTTGCTGCTTCCCAGCATTGCAAAAAAATATCATACTACACACCGCTAGCCTTTCTTTCTCAAATACGTCATGTGTGTGCATGCATGTGTGTGTCACACGCACACACACCAGGACACATGTGTGGAAGATAACCTGTAGGAGTCAATTTTCTGCCCTCCATGTGGGTCCCAGGATCAAACTTGGCTTGACTGATGTGGCAGCAGGTGCTTTTGCCTACGGAACTTGACCCAAGCTATAGCCATCTGAGAGGAGGAAATCTCGATTGAGATCAATCTCGATTGATCGATAAGATCGGTCTGTAGACACACCTGTAGGCCATTTTTCTTGATTAGTGATTGATAGAGGAAGATCCACCCCATGTTAGGTGGGGCCATCCCTGGGCTGGTGGTCCTGGGTTCTATAAGAAAGCAGGTTGAGCAAGTCATAAGGCTCAAGTCAGTAACTCTCAGTGACCTCTGCATTAGATCCTGCCTCCAGGTTCCTGCCCTGTTTGAGCTCCTGTCCTGGCTTCCTTCAACAATGACCAAATGATGTGGGAGTGAAGGTTAAATACACCCCTTCCTCCCAAAGCTGTCTTTTGTTGTACTGTTTCATTACAGTGATAGTAACTCTAACTAGGAGACTTACACATCATAGTAAAGCCAAGCATTCCAAGGTGAAACCTTCTTATTTGGGACTCTTCTGTATTTGCTTTTGGAACTTCCCCCATCCATTCTGCTCCTGTAGTAGGAAATGGCGGTGGGCCCTGTCCTGCTGCCCAGTTAGCTTAACCCCTGAAATAATCACATGGAAATTGTATTAATTAAGTTACCACCTGGCCATTAGCTCTAGTTTCTTATTGGCTAACTCTTACATCTTGATTCAACCCATTTCTAACAATCTGTATGTCACCACAAGTGGCTTACTGGGAAAGATTCAGCATGTCTGACCAGGCAGTTCCATGGCAGCTCTCTCTGTCTGCCTTCCTCCTCCCAGCATTCAGTTCTGTCTTTCCACCTATCTAAGTACTGCCCTATCAAAAGGTCAAGGCAGTTTTCTTCATTTAACCAATGAAAGCAACACAAATACAGAAGGACCTCCTACACCATGCTCCATTTGTCACCTCTTCTTTTCCAGAGTCACACAGTAAATCCACTCATACTGCTGTGGGTTTCCTGTCTGGGTGTGCCTCTGATGACTCTGAGCAGCAGATTGAACTTAGGGACATCGCAGGCAAACATGGCCCTAGGACTCATCTGGACTGCACATGAATGGAACAGTCATGTGTTCAAAACAGAGCAACTAGAGAGAATGCCTTTCCTCCTGGGGTGTTTAATCTGGGTTTCCAACTTGACCATATCTGGAGTCAACTAAAACCCAGGTGTCTGAGAACATCTATGAGGGATTGTTTTGATTGGATCATTTTAGGTAGAAGATTCACCCTAAATCTGGGCTACACCTTCTGGTGGCAGCCCACATAAAAGGATGTAGAAGAAGGAAGTGTTTCATTTTTGCCTGCTTACCTTCACTCTCCTTGACAAATTCCTCTATCCTGATGTTGAGGAATTCCTTTGCTGGCATTAGAGTCTTCTTCTTCAAGATTCCAGCAGATACTAAAGACCAGCTTAGACATTCAGCTTCATGGACTGAATAGCTATTGAATTCTTGGCCTTTCTGTTGGGAGACAGCCATTGTTGAATTAGCAGGACCATGACCACAGCCTGTAAGCTACTCTAATAAATCCCCTTTTAATAAATATAGATTTATTCTATCAATTCTGTTCCTCTAGAGAACCCTGAATAATACACCTCCCAGACCTGCCAGCTATGACTCACCCACTCCACTTAATCTACAGCAATCAGATGTGACAGGAAAGCCAGAAAACCTTATACACTCAGAGGGGACAGCAGCACCAAATGACACCATTTGTGAGCCAAGGTATTGGAAGCACATTTTTAAGGAAGAAAGTACTCTTTTTCAAAGTCTTTTTCACATTCTTTTCTAGATTAAAACCATGAAAACTGCTGTCCTATTTTATACATGGAAAACTAAGCACAGAGAAGTTGAGCAGCCAGTACAAAATTACGAAGTCAGTAAATGTAGGCGGCACAGTTTGGGCACTAGACACTTGTCACTAAAACTGGAAATCACAGCTGGTTAGTAAGAGAGCCAGAGGACTACCTGAAAGATCCTGGTTCACCATATAGGGGCCTGGCTGTGCATCTCCTGCAGCTCCTAAGATAACACAGACATAATCTTCAGGAGCATTGTTCCCACAATGGCGCGGCTTTCAGCTCCTGTATGTATGTCACTAGTTTCCATATCTGTGTATGCCTGTGTGTTTGTGTGCATCTGCGCATGTGTGTGCGCACGCATCTGTTCTCACAACCCATGGAGGTCGGTGTCTGGCATTCATTCTGAAGCTGACAATTTCCAAAGATGTCACCCCACGGCCCCTGCATCTTGCTCCACATACTGATCAATCAGTTGCTTTTGTTCTTTACCAAAGTGACCCACATACTGGAGATACAAATAGCGCCCAAATCTTTGGTTCTAAAAGAAGAACACTGGGCCATTCTGTTCATAATTTGACAGCAGCTTAAAGAGAAAGAACACTAATTTCACATGGTTAATACAGTCCGGCTTTAGAAAAATAACGTTTCCCACAGAGAAAAAGAGCAGTGTATTGAGAGAGAAACCATGCCATCAGATGCAAAAGTTCAAGAGACCTCCACGACACAGGAAGTTAACATCCCAGGACTGGCAATGCCTGTGTCACTACAATGAGTGAGTAAACTCCATGGTCCTCAATGTAGACCGAAGTTTCTCTCCCACCTGATCCATAGCCTTTCAGTCCCAAATAAACACACAGAGGCTTATGTTAATCATAAACTGTTTGGCCTATTGTTCAGGCTTGTGATATAACAAATTGTGGGTTTATTGTTAATTTCCATTCTAGAATTATGGTATTGATCAGTTAATGTTTGTGACTTTGCTTTAGTTCACCATAAAATGTTAAAAATAAAAAGTTTAAAATTTCTTATGTGTACTTGGATTTAACATATTTGCTTCTTAACCTTTCTGTCACTTAGGATAGAGAACAGTCCAGTGAAATCTGCACGTGAAAGAGATATCTGTGCTGCAGAAGAGGTATAATCCCAGGACTTGCGAGGCAGAGGCGGGTGATCTCTCTGCGAGTTCAAGGCCAGCCTGGTCTATAAGAGCTAGTTCCAGGACATGCTCCAAAGTTACAGAGAAACCCAGTTTCGAAAAACCATAAAAGAAAAGAAAAGAAAAGAAAAGAAAAGAAAAGAAAAGAAAAGAAAAGAAAAGAAAAGAAAGAAAGAGGTATCTGTATTCATTACAATGTTGTAATGTAAGTGTCCACTAACAGATGAGCAGGGAAGGAAAATGGATAAATTTGCACAATATAATTCTACTCAACAGGGAGAATAATAAGATTCTGTAATTAGAATTATCATGAATATTATTGTGCTAAGTGAAAAAAGCCAAGCATGGAGACAATCTTAGGATCTCACTCACACACAAGTGTATGCTGAGCTCATGAAAGTAGGAAACAGAATGGTAGTTACCAGGTAATGTGTAGTGATATTTTGCTTGTGTTTTAACAAATAAAGTTTGCCTGAAGATCAGAGTGCAGCGCTAAACCACTAGAGGTCAGGCAGTGGTGAATCACACCTTTAATCCCAGGATTTGGGAACCACACGCCTTTAATCCCAGCACTAGGGAGGTAGAGACAGGAAGAGAAATGGCTGGGCGGAGAGAGGACTATAAGGCAGGAGGAGACAGGAGCTCAGATACAGTCTTAAGCAGCGGTCGAAGCAGTCCGTCTGAGATGCAGTCTGAGGATACAGTCTGAGCATGCAGTCTGAAGATTAGTAGAGACAGGATCGCCCCTTCAGTCTGAGGATTTGGTGGAGGTAAAATGTCTCTCTAGTGGTTAGCTACACTGCTCTGATCTCTCAGCCTTCACCCACTAATATCTAACTCTGGGCTTTTATTATGAATACCAGTTAGAATTCGTGCTGCAGTATTAGGAAAGGGATGTTGGCCAAAATCACAGTTTCAGTTAGGCATGATTAAGTCCTGGAGATCTGCAACGTGGTGGGTATAATAAATAAAGTATTGAACACTTGCAGACTGCTGAGTAGCTAGAGTGTTCTTGCCACAGCAAAAAAAAAAAAAAAGACATGTGTCAGATAACTTGATTTAATCATATATGTGTTCTCATATATGGGGGCTACAAACTGCCTCCTTTATTCTCTTTTCTCTATGCCAGTGGTTCTTAACCTTCCTAATACGGCAACCCTTTAGTATAGTTCCTCATGTTGTAGGGATCCCCCAACCACAAAGTTATTCCATTGCTACTTCATATCAATAATTTTGCCTCTGTTATGAATCATAATATAAATATCTGAGATGCTACCCCAAGGGGGTTGTGACGTACAGGTTGAGAACCTATGGTCTAAATTCAACCCCATTTCTGTCCATCGGAAAGCTTTACAGAGTGCTGTGTGCTGTGCCTTGAGCTGCTCAGACTGCCAGTTCTCCCTGACCCAGCACTTACTGTTAACTGCGGCTTCATGTGCAGTATCTGTAAATATAAATTAATCATCATAGCAACCCTTTGAGAGGGTACTATTGCTATCTCCATCTCCATTCTGTGGGTGGCAAACTGAAGGGCAGAATGGCTATTTGACTTCCTTATGGTCACAGAACCCATGGTTATAGGACTCCAAAGACATTACACCTTTATCACAGATGGCTGATCCCTGTTTTGGGCAGGATGACAAAGAAGTTCAAGATTAGCCCTACAGGGAAGTGAACTCCAGCTCATTTGAAGAGGCTTTGAGGAAGGAAAAAAAAAGCCCCTTAATACTCTTCTGTCCTACCTAAGAACAGCTGGATCTTTGTGATTAGCATAATGTTTCCCACCAAAAGAGCCTCATTAAATCCCTGACTCCTGCTTTACAGAGGGAACTTGAGTGGATGTTTTGTAGAGTTCCTGGAGGAAGAAGCAAGAACTTAATGGTCATTCCATATTTCTCTTCTATTTCCTTAGCCTTCAGGCAAGCCCATACCACTATCTAGAGCCGATACTACATGAAACATCATGCTGGGATGGGTCAGAGCCCATTCTCAGTGCTGAGTTCCAGTAATCTCCGTAATCACCACTTCCTAGTTGTTGGAGAATTCCACTTCCTGGCGTGGAGCATACATCCTAGCAGAGGCTGGCCCTGTCCTTCCTGGTGGGGAGCCTTCATTCCATCAGCAGTTGGCCCTGCCCCTGGGATGCCTAGATCTGCTTCCCTGATGGGCAGAGCATGGTTCTCTTGAGGAGGGTGTGGGAGTGTGAAGCAGGGGGGTCATCATCCAGGAAAGAACCAGTCCCCCCTTTCCTGTTCTCCTCCACCCATCTCTGTGTGCTAGAAGGAAATGGTGAAATTATGGGCTGGGTCGCACCCCAGGGACCCTTAGCAAACTGTTTCTCCACACCCCTCTTGCTTTCTAATGGAAAGAAAAGGGGGTGGGGTAGACATCTTGCACAATCTGAAAACAGAATTGAGTTCAGTTCTGTAAAATAGACGCTAAGTTTATATCATAAATAATGGCATAGGAACACAGAGATTGGAGCCAAAGAGACGTGAACAGCTTGTTCCTCAAAGTGCTGGAGCGTGAGCCAGAATGAACACGTGAGTTGTTGGGCTTCCATAAGCTGAGAGGCTGCCCAGCCCTGAAGAGGAAGAAGCTCTGGAAAGCTAAGCCTTGCCTTGGGTCTGCACTGAGTCTCACCCACAGTATCCACACTTCACATAGAGACTCACGTCTGTCCTGCGTGGTAACTCAGGGCAGTTACACAGTGCCCCCACTCTCAGAACAGTGCTAGGTACAGAGCAAGCTCTTCAAGTGATTCTGAATAAGACAAAAAAGGAAGTGATGCTGAGACCTTTGCATCACAAGGGACTGTGCCTTTTTATCCAAATCCGGTTCCTGACAAAGTCTCAATCCTTCATACGGAATTGACTGACCGAGAACCACATCTGTCTAACCAGGGTAGAGGGCCATTAAGAAGCACCTGGGCCTTGTCGGCATTCTAATGCAATCAGAGGGCAGTCATTTGGCCCCAGAACAGTCAAACTATTTTTCACTTTTTTGAGAACTGCTTGTTAAAGCATGTTTCTGCATAATCCTGGCCCTTGTGGGCTCTGAAGCCATCTTCGGTATCTGCAACCACGCCATGCCTTTGTCTTTTTATCTTTTCACTTTGTTCTCTTTGGCTTTGTCCATGTTGAGTTACTTAGAAACTTAAGGTTTGTGGTGACATTGCGTGGAGCAAGTCTATTGGCATTGTTCTTCCAAAGGTTCAGAGGGGCGCACGCATGTTTGCGAACTGAAGTCTGGGTTAGTTATTTTCCTCGTGGCTGTCACCAAGTGCTTGACAGAGAAAGCAGAACATCATGACCTGAGTCCACATTGCCAGAAGGGTGAGGTGCTCACCAGGAAGCAAAGAGCAAGGATTGGACCCAGAAGTAGATACATTTTTAAGCATCACACCCAGAGATTTATTTCTGCTAGTGAGATCACACTGGCCAAAGGTTCCATAGCCTTCTAGAACTGAGGGTCAAGTGTTGAAGTCCTTTGACCTATAGCAGACATTACAGATTTAAGTTAGAGCAAGGTGGTTTTAAGATATATTCATGTCACATATATAGAATACTTTTGTAGATTTCGTAGGCACCACATAGCGTAAGCAAAGCTTGTTTATGCCTTGGGAACAGAAGTCACATAACTACGTTACTCGTTTTATTGTCCTGAAGTGCCCCTGAACAGTGCCAAGCGGGATGTGAGAGCAACGACCCACTCCATTATACAGGCCTCCCTCAAAGACAACCTGGATTCAGCTCCAGACGCCTGAGATAGAACAGACACCGCAATAAAGTGAGCAAAACACAACAGAGGAAGAGCTGGATTTCCACCTAAGTCTCTGCCCAGACCCCCTCCAGTGCCCCCCCGGCCCCCCAGCCCCACCCCCCCGCCCCCAGCCCCACCCCCCGTCCTCCAGCCCCACCCCCAGTCCTCCAGCCCCACCCCATACCACACACGCAGTACCATCTAATCTTCAACTTGACACTAGTTACCTATCAAAGCAAGCCTTTCTTTAAAGGGCCTTGTTAGCAGGCCAGGCCAAGGCTTTGTTTGGACAGAAGCTGTACCTCTGAGTGAAGCTGCCTATGTCCTTGGCTTTAGCTCTTCCTCGCGTGACTCACCAACAACTTCCACCTCTCTGATGTAACAAGCTTTTGGAAGTTCTGTTGAACAGACAAATATGTCCCAGGACAACCGGAGGTGCCCAGACAATGTACGATAGGCAGACAGACAAATATCAGATTAAGCCAGCAAATGTAGAAAATCTGGATTTAAAAAAAAAAAGTCGGCCCGGGGCATGCTTTGACAGCTTTCTGGGGCATTGTGTTCTGTCGCCCTGAGTCTTTAAGCTGCTAACATAAGCACAAGAACCACGGTGCAGCAACAGCCATGAAGAAGAACAAGCCACAGCAAGAGAGCTATCACACCCTGAACTGTTGGCAGAACTCCCTAGGACCCAAAGTTGCATAAAAGTCAATGAAAAACCCAACCCCCAACCCCTCCCACACACACACTTCTTCTCTATTGTAGAATTTTATAATCTTTGAAATCAACAGTTGCTGCTTGTGAAGTCAATCCTCCATGAAGATGCTTCTGTTTTCATTGGTACATGAAACCATTCCTCGGGAGATAATTAGAGGTTAGAACTATGTGTTCCAGAACCTTCTGCCTTGAGCTTTAAGCAAAAAGACCCCAAATAACATATTCCTAATCAACTAAGGTCAGAGATTAAGGTATGTGTTCACACTGTGGGGAAATATACTTTATATGTATTATGTATTTGTTTAAGGAACCCCGTCCTTGAATGCAACGGGAGTAGTGCTGCCTCCTAGTGGGAGAAAAGGGAAAATCAAGAGAAATAGCCGTTTACTACAACTACAAACCACCTCAGACTCTATATTAAAATGAAAACTCCAAATCTTTGCTTAGAGACCTGATTCTGTAAGGTTTTCACAAAGTCTTTTTCTAAAGGTCTGTACCTCCCCCTTATTATCCCAGTAAAAACTACCAACCACCTTGTCTCTGATAACTTCCTATGTGCTGGAACATGTGTAGAGGAACACGGGCAATGCTAGGTAGGATTTCTCCCACAGCATGAATAACTCAGTAGGGAAGACCAAAGTGTACAGTAAAAGCAATCCAGAACAGTCAAATCTCCATCTGCATGGCTCACTCTATTGTATGGAGTCCACCAGGCGCGTAATCTCTTGGACTCTGCCCAGGGAAGCAAGCTCAAACTTCGCACTTTGGCTTTCAAAGGTTTGCCAAATCTCTTGCTGCGTCTCCATCACATTCTGTTTAACCCCAGTTTTAGAGCAGTCCTCCAGGGAGCGAGTCTCAGGCAAATCACTCGAAAGCTAGCCCAGCATAGAGGACCACGTTGTCAGACCTCCGCCAGAAAGCATCTTAGGCGCGTTCCTTCTCTGCACTGCGGACTCATCAGCGCGACTGTCACTGTTATGAAACACATAACTAAAAGCAGCCTGGGGAGGAAAGGGTTATGAGGCTCACACTTCCAGAGCACTGTTCATTGCTGGAGGAAGTCAGGACAGGAAGTCAAGCAGGGCAGGAACCTGGAGGCAGGAGCCGATGCAGAAGCCATGGAGAAGTGCTCCTCGTGACTTGCTCGGCCTGCTTTCTTTAGACCCCAGAGCCACTAGCCCAGGGATCGACACCTTGCCTATCAACAACTGACTTAAGAAAATGCCTTACAGGCTTGTATACAGCCCAATCTTATGGAGGCATTTTCTCAGTTATCTCAGGTGACTATAGTTTGTGTCAAGTTGGCATAAAACTGGGCAGTGCATATAAACATCGTCATCCCTGTGACTGCTGTAGAAACCGTGAAACATTATCAGGAGAATGGGGCTGCCTATCTGAATGACTTCGCCTGAATGAACTAAAAGGCTAACTGGCATGGGAAAATCAGAACACTTGCACATTGTATGGACACACCTTTCACCGTTGTAGCAGCCAGCTTCTGCTCGGAACAAAACTAGACAAACTCGGTTACAAGGAACAACTAACTTCAAACTAGCCCAGAGTGGACTGCGGTCCATGGAGCCATCTGTTCTTCCCTGGGTTTCCTGAGCTCTCTCATGCCTTGCGGATCTCTGAGACCACCCCCCTGACATCCTATACTGAGTTTTGATCGTCTCAGAACTCAGTGGGAACTATTTCTTCCTCCTTAGAATCTTTCCTATCTCCCTACTCCACATTGTTGCAGCCTGGCTAGGTTAAGTGTCGCGCTTTCATGTTCCCGCCTTGGGTGGCATGCGTCTCTAACTGCACTCTAATAAGCTGTTGATTCCCTCTCTGCCTCCCCGATACCTCCACCAGGGTGGAAAGCGGCTAATGCATGCCGGTTGTGTCTTAATTGTGAACTCCAGCAACTTTCCTAGCTGCTGCTGCTGCTGCTGCTGCTGCTGCTGTGCTCTCTCTCTCTCTCTCTCTCTCTCTCTCTCTCTCTCTCTCTGTGTGTGTGTGTGTGTGTGTGTGTTAATATGTCACTGTTTTAAGGTGAGAGAGAGAATCACAGAAAACGCCTGAGTAGGTTAGATTCACAGAACAGACTGGGTTAAGAAAGGACGGTGGGGTGCAGGGGAGACTTTCCTGCCAGGACAATTGTGAGCCACAAACAAACAAAATGTGACACAAACAGTGAAGGACAGGAGCCTAACCACAGGAAGCAAACATTCTCCTCCACATCTAATCAAGATGGAACAAAGTCCTTCCTCTCTCTGCTTCCTTTGGTCCTTCCCAGAATGCCAAAGGGGGAAGGACCAGGCCATAACATCTGGAACTTGTGAACAGTCAGAAAGAGCTCTGAATTCAAGTCTTCAGGGGCTTCATAAATTCAAAGCACAAGATAGCATCCTTCTCCCCCAACTTCCTACAGAAGTTCCTACACCCAGCGTCCTGCGTGCAGGGCAATCAGGGTGAGGTTAGAGCAGCTAGACTTTAGCCCAAATATCCTCGACCTCTGTAATTGCGCATCTAGCACAGGCCTCAGCTTCCTGTTGTGGTCTGCTCCTGGAGTTCTAGGCTGAAGATTATGTTGTAAACAGTGTAGGGGTTGCATTTGGGAATGGCGGTTTGGGTTGTTATCCGGTCAGGGTGGGGAAGAGTGGAAAGTGATGAGCAATATCTATTTTTCTGGACAGAGTTATTCTGAAACAACGGCATTCTAGCCAGAGTGGTTTTTTTGTTTTTGTTTTATTTTAAGAGGTGGACTTGGGGAGAGAATGGAGGACTCTCAGGAGGATGAGTCAAAGGATAAAGATGGCGATGTCAGAGATTTTTTCTGGGTAAACAACTTAAAGATCATGTTTCAAGATAGAAGACATTATACTACACTCTTAAGCTGTTTTCAATGCATCTGCAAAGCATAGACTGATGTTTCTAGAATCTTCCTGCTAGAACAGGAGATATGGCTCAGTAGTTAAGAGTTCTTATTGCTTTAATGCCCAGCACCCATGTCTGGTAGGTTACTGATGTTCTCTTCTGGTCTCCATAGTACAGGCACCTGAACTCGGGTGCATCTTCCTAGCCCTCCAAACATATAACTTAAAATAATAACAATAAATAATTTTCAAAAAAGGGCAATTAAATGACTAACAGACCTAAAAGTAAAAGCTACCAGTATAAAACTTCTGAAAGAAAACACAGGAGGAAATCTCTCTACCATGGGTTTGCCACTGTTATTTAGATTCCACACTGAAAAGAGAAACCATAAACAGAATTTCGTCAAAATTAAAATCGAGCCAATCACAGTGTTAATTAATCACAATTAACACTTTTAATCGCAACACTCAAACTACTGAAGCAGGATGCCTACAAGTTTGAGACTACACAGAAAATCACAGACCAACCTGAACTATGTAATGAGACCCCACCTCAAAAAGAGCAAACCATTGACAAAATATTAAAACTACTCTATTTAGAATGGCATTGATTAATTGATTCTAAATATTTACTGCCCAACACGTGTCATCTCCCTGCTAGGTATCAGATCATGGCACCTAATTGGATTCTCTATTATAGAGTATTGAAACAAGGATATAAACTTCTTAGGTTCTCAGCAGAGATCAGCACAGAGCTAGCCCTGGTAGTAGGTCTATGTCTGCAATCCCAGCACTCAGGAGTGGAGCAGGAGGATCGATCGGGAGCGCAAGGCTAGCACGGCTAGACGACAAGTTGGAGACAGCCTGGGCTAAGTGAGATCCTGTGTGAAAAGAAAAAGGGGTGGGGAGACAAAGCATAGAAGCAAATTTTAATCAAGACGTCTCTGATTTTTTCCAATAAAATTCATAGATACCTGAAAATTATATTCAAGTGCTGAGAAATTAGGATGTATACCTCTATTACTTAATCTTCATTGACTCTTAAACTGTTTTCAAAAGAACTCCAAGGATGTGGATCTTGGATAAAGAATCTAAGTTAGTGCTTTAAAAGGAGACTTCAACCGTATTCCACTTTAAACAATTGTACTGGGACATTTTCATTGGAGACAGGGTTTCATTGTTGTAGCTCTGGCTGGCTTGAAACTTACTCTGTAGACCAGGCTGGCCTCAAACTCACAGAGATCTGCCTGACTCTGCTTCTGAAGTGCTAGAATTAAAGGTGTACTCAGCTGTACCTGACTATACTGGCCATGCAGACCCAAATTTGAAGACCACTTCATGTGGAAATCTTTTCCATCTCAGACACTGACGAAAACATCTAACACAAAGTGTTATAAAGATTTATGAAGTATATATCTATAAAGTATAAGACACATAGCTGGGCCTCAGCAGATGGAAATGACGATGATGGTGGTGATGATGATAATGATGACGATGATGATGATGAAGAGGAAGAGGATGGGAAGCAGGAAGATGAGAAGGAGGAGGAGGAGGAAGAAGAAGAAAAGGAGGAACAGGGAAAAAATCCAAATCAGATTCCAAAAGCTGGGGCTAGGAGATAACTCCGAGGCAGGGTGCCACAAAGTATGTACAAAGTCCTAAATTCAATCTCTAGTACAGAATAAAAAAATTAATAAACAGAAACAAATAGTTTTAAAAATGATTAAAAAAAATTGACCAGGACCGGGCAAATTGTGTGTTGTTTATTCTCGGGAAACCTGCTTCCTCACCTAAGATAAAATTTGAGTCTAAAGGGAAAAAGGGGGTACTTCAATTCCTCCCCACATCGGGTGCCAGGGATAGATGACATTGACCAACCTACCTCAGCACTGTGACCTGGGCCTTGAGTCCCTCCGCTGACGGTCATACCTAATCCATTCAAAGTTGGCCCTGGAAATAAAATTTGCCTGCTATTATTGACTTAAAGATTTTACGTCCCCTCCAAACCAGAAAGAATGTCACTAGTGAACTGAAAGTCCAAGCTCAGTCTGGATAGAAATGACTGGAGGGTCCTAACTGGTCAGTCCCCGGAGGAACTGGTTTTTATTTAGTGTAACCCTGCTCTTCTGTTCCTTTTCCATCGGAAAGTAAACTATTAATCTTTACCTCCCTTCACAACAGGGTTTTGACTTCCCAGACCCTGGGGTCACATACTCTCTTCACTGCCTTATAATTAAAGATGGTCTAGCAAAAGTTTACCAAGTCAATAGTCTGGGGTTCTGATTCAGCTAAAGCTAATGAACAAACTCAGCTTAGACTGCCTGAAACCTCGATAATAGGCAATGTCCCTAACCAATTACTTCAGAATCTCTGTAGATGGCATCAGATCAGAATTAGAGGAGATAAGGTCACTTACGCTATTTTAATATGGAGCCAAGAATGACAACCTCTGACCTAATATTAAGTTAAAAGAGACTCTGTTAATGGACAAAATATCCCTGCTGTTCTGTCACTGAGGCAGAGGTGCCATTTGTATTTGTGACCGGGAAATGGAGTAGGTGTGGATTTAATGCTGTCCCATGCCTTTCCAGTTCCTCACACTGAATATGCATCCTGCCTTCTGATTGTCCACCTGAATAGTAATACACCTGGATATTACTATCTTTGAGTTCAGACTGAGGTCCATCTCATTCATAACCACAGAGCGTGTTGCATGATTCAGTTACTATGCACGAGATTTTCTCAGAATGGAAACACTATATACAAACTGTGTCTCACTCTGTCTGGGGGTGGTTCAGCTGTTCAGACAGTCCTATCCCTAATAATATTAGTGCCACTTGCAGTATCTGAGCAAATCACACTGACAAATATGACTTTCACTGGTAATTCATGTGTGTATGCACGAGTGTTCATGCGTGTGTATAGGGTGTGTGTGTGTGATATGTATATGCATATTCGTGTGTGTGAGCGCAGGAAGCACACCACAGACAGTGTGTGAAGGTCAGAGGTCAACCTCGGGTGTTGGTCTTCCGTTTCCGGTGGGTATGAGACAGGATCTCTCCTTTGCTGTCCCCACTGTGATGGCAGGCTGGCCGGCTGAGAGAGCTAAGACTCTCCTGCCCCTGCCTCCCAGTCAGAGCGGGAACAGTGGGACCGCAGACATGCGCTGCGTTGCCCAGATCTTATGCACGTTCTGAGGATGTGAATTCAGGTCCTCATACTTGTATGGCCAGTGCTGTAACTGCTCAGTTCTTTATTGATCATCTTGTATCCAACAATCTCATGTGCTTGAATATTTACTTATCAAATACACATCCCTTTTTAAAAACATACATTTTATGTTTCTTGGTGGTAAAATATTACTTTTCTAACATTGTCATTCTATAGGTATATGATTCTTGAACTTCATCTGGCATTATGAAATATTTCTTATAAAAGAATCTTTGGAGTTTCCATAGGGCCAAGAATTTCGTGTCCAGGGATCCCTTCCTGGTTTGTACAAGGCAGTCTCAGTTTTCGTTTCTGTGTATTGAGCACAGCAGCTCCAGCAAGGCCTTCGGCAAGGGCGTTAACCGGAAGTCAGTTATTTGTTGTCTGTGAGCTTCAGCTTCCTCGTCTGTAAGACGATTTAACAACAGTCCTTCGCTCTCGGCTGCCCAGGGCATCACATGAGATCAGCTGTGACAAACAAAGTCCATGGCATTCAGGAAGAGCAGAACAAAAGGCACCTGCTTTGGTGATGACGACGTTGGGAGCAGTGGTGACAATGGTGTGACAAAGGAGGTGGCGCCATCACAGAGAGAAGGCTCTTTAATCCTGTCCTCCGCCAACTATGTCATGTCTACCCTTTGCTGCTTCTCCCGAGGTTGGAAACCACCCAGCACCCAGAGCACATACCTGGAATGTCAGTCCAAGGGGCAGCCACGTTCACGGTCTCTGCTTCTGAACTGTAACTGTTTTGAACTGTACCCTGGGAGGCAAGCTGAGGATCTGATGTTGTTGCTACTGTTAGAGGTTGAATTCGTGTCAGCACTCCGGGAGCTCAGAGAATCCATACCTAGAGGCATGTTATGAGGTGTCATGTCAGACATCACCTTTTTCTGTAGCTTTGGGATTGCCCCATTTCCTCATTTATCCTGTTTTCTTTTCAACTTGGTGAGCGGCCTGCCTTCTCCGAGAAGAATGAGGATCTGGCGTCATGTTACGTCTAAGGAACAACTAGCGCCCTTTTCAAAGGCCATTGGGTAATCTCAGCTCACACCATAGCCTCACACCCAACTCTTGCAGCTTCCCTCACCGCCGGTCATGGCAGTGAGAGGCGGTCTCGCCATTCGGGAAGTATGCTTGCTGTCTTCTCACTGCCAGATTCCAGTCACTGTCTAGGCCACATTAGCTGCCAAGTTTTATGGGCAGAACAAACCCGTTGCTATCCAGTAGGCTGTACATTACCTTGTCTTTCATTGTGAGGACCTAGAGTAACATGGCGCTGGGGAGAGCCCAGAGCCAATCATGGGCTTCCAGTTGAGAGAACAGAAGATGTAAGTACCCCATCTTTGTAAAGAGTCCTTATAGATAAAAAAATCAATCTAAACATTACAGACCCTTAGAACCAGATTTCACACACATACCTAAAGCCATCTAACAACAATCTTTCTGTTGTGTTTTTCAAAGATTCTTTTATCACTTTTAAGATTTATTTTATTTATGGGGGGGTCTTTCTTTTGTTTATTTAATTATTGGGTTTTTTTCTGTATATCTGGACCAATGTTTCCCCTTCCTCCTCTCCCCTAGTTCCTCCTTCTGCCTCCCCCACACACCCACTCCTCCTCCTCTGCTTCTTTACAGAAAAGGGAAGGCATTCCATGAATATCAACCAGTCATGGTGTATCAAGTTGCAGTGAGACTAGGCACCTCCTCTTTTATTAGGACTTGATGAGGCAATCAGGAAGGAGGAAACTGTCCCAAAAGGGGATAGGAGGAAAGAGTCCCAAAAGCAGACAGGCCAGGCTCCCACTGTTAGGAATCCCACAAGAAGACCAAGTTATACTTCTGTAAGAGATAGGCAAAGAGCCTAGGTCAGTTGTATGCAGGCTCCCTGGTGGTCCTCTTAGTCTCTGTGAGCCCCTACAAGCCTAGGTTAGTTGGTTCTGTGGGTTTTCTTGTGGTGCCCTTGACTTCACCTCACTGGCTTCCATAATCCTTCCTTCCCCTCTTCCGCAGAATCGCGGAATGTTTGATTGTTGTCTCTGCATCTGTTTCCATCTCAGAGGCCCATAGCCCAGAGGCCTAGGATACAGCCAGATACCACAACTGGGGGGAAAAAAAGTCAATGAGATGATTCCTAATGATATTCTGCTATACTCATAGATTGATACCTAGCCCAACTGTCATCAAACATTTACTATTTTTATTTTATGTGTATGAGTATTTTTTGTTTGTTTGGTTAGTTGCTTGGTTTGATTTGGTTTGGTTTCTGTTTTTCGAGACAGGGTTTCTCTGTAGCTTTGGAGCTTGTCCTGGAACTAGCTCTTGTAGACCAGGCTGGCCTTGAACTCACAGAGATCCACCTGCCTCTGCCTCCCGAGGGCTGGGCTTAAAGGCTTGTGCTACCACCGCCCGGCTGTGTATGAGTATTTTACAAGCATGTATGCTAATGTACTGCATGTATACCTGATACTTTTGGAAGCCAAAAGAGGGCACTATCTTCTACGGAACTGCAGTCACTGGTGACTACAAGCTGCCATGTGAGTGCTGGGAACCAAACCAGAAACTGGATCCTCTACAAGAACAATAAATGCTCTTAATCATTGAGACATCTTTCCAACACCCCAAAATATCCTCTTACTTAAGAAGATTTAACGATTGGGTGGAGTGCACAGCTCTAAACCCAGAACTGAGGCCTTGTGAATCACTGTGAATTCAAGGCCATCCTGAACACACTTCCAAGATGGCCATAGCTATACACATGTCTTACAAAAAAGAAAGAAATTTATTGGCTAGTTACTAAGAGCCCAAAATTTTATTTACAATTATTTTCTCTTTTTTTCCCCCTTTCTTTGGAGCCTTTCTCTTTTTGGAACTAGCTCTTGTAGACCAGGCTGGCCTCCAACTCACAGAGATCTGCCTGCCTCTGCCTCCCGAGTGCTGGGATTATAAAGGCATCCGCCACCACAGCCTGACTTACAATTATTTTCTTAATGAACAAAGCCCCTCTTTGGTTTAAAATCTGAGATAATCTCAGTTTATAGATGAGAGAGTTAGGAAAACTCAGGGGCATGGTGCTGTTTGCTGTGCCCAAGGCCCTAGACTCAATCCTCAGCACAGAGAAGCAATGGCAGGCAGGCAGGGGGAAGGGAGGGAGGGAGATTTCTATGCTTTCCTTCAAGAGTTCTGGATCTAGTAAGTCTGGAGGGGTGCTGATACTGTAGCTAAGGGGACCACATTTTGAGAATTGAGTGTCAACCTTAAATTATCCATGTAGCGTTAGGTGGCAAGAACAAATTATGGCTGGGGATTTGGCCCAGCTGGCAGAGTCTGCCTAGCATGCCTAGAACCCTGGATTCAATCTCACTGTGCTAATCTGGGTATGATGCCACATGACTGTAATCCCAGAACTGGAAAGTAGAGGCAGGAAGATCAGAAGTTCTAGGTCATCCTCAACTACATAGTAAGTCCAGCCTGAGCTACATGAAACCGGGTAAGCAAGCACTTTAGCAACTGAACCATCTCCCACTCCTTAAATATGACTTTTAAATGATTGATGTATCTTGGCCTTTCTCTCCTACCTCTCCCCTTTATTTCCTTCTAGCACAGAAAGAATGAGGTGATTGTGCCTGAGAGTGGATGGGGGAAAGTAAGGGGTTTAGAAGGCTGAGGGGGAAAAGGAAGCAGGACTACTGTAGATCCCCAGGGTTCTGGTTAAGGAGCATCATGTGAGCAGGGTGCTCAGGGAGAAAGGGGCAGCAGAGCCCCCAAAGGTCTCCTCTATTGGGCAAAAACTCGAGGCACCTCATTCCCTTCAGCTGGGCACAGAGGCATCTTATGCAGAGATTGTTCTCCTCTTTGATTTTTGAAGAGCGGAAAAACCATGATCTGTCTGTATGCAAAGACGGACAAACAGAAGCCATAGCAGAAGCTTTGGCCATCCCTATTTCTGGGATCGGTCAGGGTTTGTTTCGTTCCCTCCCTGCCGACATGCAGGCTTTTTTTTATCTCTAATATTGCAGGCCACGGGGATTTTGAAAAGAGAGGCGTGAGACTTGCTGAGTTGCAAGCAGCTGGGAATTTGGAATGTGTCTCTGGAGATACACACTGAGCCTGGCTCAGAACTTCCAAGAAAACTCAGTGGGAGGGGAGGAAAAACAGCCGCAATGACATGAAGCCTTGCAGGGCCCGCCTTGGCCTCACTGGACTGTCCAGAGCTCACATTCCAGTTGCACTGTGGTGACCCAATGTTCTAGTAAACAAGGAGGGGACAGGATGGGCAGAAATCAGATCAGGCTACCTCTGGAGCTTTGAAATAGACGCAGGAGGCCTGAGGTGGGGAGGGTGGGAATGAGCTAGTATTTGTGCAGATCCTGGATCAGCAAGGCGAATCCGCAACACCCCCTGGTCACATCCACTCATACACATTTCCAATGGGGCTTGAACAGATACCATCCCTCAGATGTCCTAACCTCTCAAAGGTCAGAAAGGGATCTCCCTTCAGACCCTCCCCAAGAAGCCCAGGTCACATGGGTGTGCAAAGGGTGAAGTAAGGAGACACTGACTCAGGCTGAGCCAGGCCCCTGACTAATGGTGTCCACTCTACTTCTGCCTCCTGGGAAGACGGGGAGAGCTGCAACGGCAGTCCCAGTCCTTCAGTTCCTGTCTCCATCTGACTTCATAGTATCAGGCCACTGACTAATGGTGCTAGCATCCTTCAGCTTCTCCTCCCTGCCTCATTGCTACCCTACCCCTGTTTCCCGCTGGCTCCACTTCCACTTCATCAGGCAATAGATGAGTCTAAGCAATGATCAGAGGAGCTTAGTCAAAGTCTGAGGAGGAGTGTGCTGGCTTACAATGCACAGTTCTGGAAGTTTCTTCTCAAGAATGTCCTTCTGCTTGGGATAATTGAGGGCTTTGCAGCTCAGCCTGTATAGTTTCCCCCTTCCCCCCCCCCAAAAAAGCGTGATATTCTGTATAACTATATTTTATATTCTGTGTGACTAAATGACTCAAGACATTATCACCTTCATGAGCATGACTGAACGGTGTGCCATTGGAAATAATTCCTGGACAAAGCCATCAATCAGAACATGAGACCCATCTGCTGAGCAACGGGCCTGTCTATCACCCTCATGTCCCTCCCACCTTTCACAATCTACCCTGCTTCTCAGGTGATTTTTTTTTTCACTGTGACTGATTTATCTTGACTTTTTGCTGGTCTTAAGTATTCATTCCTTCATTTCCTTATAGACTGTTCAGATTCAGGCAATACCCACTTCTATCTTTTGAAGTAGGAAAAAGGCGGGTTTTGGATTTCCCTACGTAAACGGCTGGATGACTCCTCTGCTCAGGTTCTTAGTGGTGCATTCTGGCAGCTTCAGGAGCTGATCTGCCATCCCAGAGGACACAGTGGCCAGTGAATACTGTCAGCCTTGACTCACCAAATGGCCACACCCTGGTTTTGGGACAAGCAGAACAGCAAGAAAAATGATGACGTGTGTGTGTGAGTATCCATGGCAACAACTGCACACTACTTCCCTTCCGTCCCTTCGGTGTGCTCTTAGTACTACGCCTACTTTTGATGATATTTGGTGCCACCCTACAAGGTTCCAGTCACCCCTCTCTCTTTTATTTTTAATTGATTGGGGCTATGTTAAAGGCCAGACTAGAACACACCAAAGGATTATCCAAACCCACATCTGTCTGCTCCTTTGTAAAACCAACATAACCCTGAACATGGTGGGCCCTTGATATTCAACAGAGACATTTTCTTTCCCATTGGCTGTGCCCTTCCATCAGGGCTGGTGATAATTTCACATCCCAGCAAGACTTCTCTTTTATATATCAAGACTTAGTACCGCATAAGCACTGGACACAAATTTTCTGACCGGAATTTTGATAGGTTATCTAAACTAAGGTTCAGAGAAATCAAAAGCTATGGACCCAATTATGAGAGAAGGGCATGTGGTTTAGTGCCTTGGGAATTAAACAGCTTCCGTGAACAAGACTGGGTGTTGAGCTTTCTATCAGACTTCCCGTCTGGAAGTAGACAGCGTGTTTGCCTGACCAGTACAGTTGGGAGACCGAGGGCTCCACTCACCTTCGTCTCCCCAACATCCTGCCATTTCAGTCGACCTACCTCCAATCACTTTTCACATTCACAGATCTGTCTGAATCTAAATTTTTTTCCTTCTTGGATTTTACTTTTTGTTGTTAATTGCACTTATTTTAGCTGATGCATAAAGCCATGAACATCAATTGTGCTAATGAGATGTCATGTTTGTTTTCCTATAGCTATAGATGATCATTTCTGCCAGTACCTGCTTTCCATCCTTCCCTCCCAATCATAACATGATGAACACATGGACATGGATTTGGGAAGCAGATCCTTCTAGGTTGTTTCTTATTTGCTGCATCACTCAGGCTATGTTTCTTGAACTTGTCAGCTACAAAACGTGATAATAATCAAACCTTTATAGTCTTGTCCCAAGGATTAAAATAAAATTATAACCCACTGCATATAGAGCTGGTACTTGACGAATGTGCCTGGTTGATGCTCAGTCTGTTGTTGGATACTGGCGCATCCTTCTCTGGAGTGAGCTAGTCCCGTGGAAGTGGGAGTAGAATGTCAGAGGCAGAACCCTCAGGCCTCCACCAAACCCCACTTCTTCATTTTGGAAGGAACAGGGCTCAGAGGAGGTTAACTGACTTGTCCAAAGTCATATGCCTTCCTGATTCCTAGTGTCAAATAAGAAAATTAATTGGATGCAGCAGAAAGTGTTGGCTTTGAAGTCAGACATGTGTGACCTGCCAGTATGGCAGCTTTAGACATATGACTGACCTGATTCTGCTTCACTTCCTCATGCAGAACATTAGGATAATGGAGCCAGAGAGACAGGAACTGCGTGTTGCGTGGGAGGGGGTGCTGTTCTAAATGGAATAAGGCACATCAGGAATCCAGGGAGCCCCTGTCACTTGCTGGGGTTCCTGTTGGTTCATGCTGTCATTAAAACATCCCAGACCTGGTTAAAACAGGAGGAAACCGTAGGAGGAAGTGAGTAGATTTTTACAGATATAATGAGCAATGCCTGCATACTAAAAGGACATTTAGGGATAACTTTTGCTTACCAGTCTCCTAATGAGAGCTCCACAACAGCGCTTGATGCATCGAGCGGGGAAGTATTCTTAGTGAGTGGGAGACAGACCATGTGTGTATGAGGCTGGGGTGGGGAATAGGCAGGCAAGATGATCTTGAAGGTCTTTTAATGACCTTTTACAATATAGTCCAGAACAATTTCAAAATCTTCCTCATTTCTAAGCACAAATATATTCTGAGTTGGCAGCCCAAAGTGGGAGGTGGCTTTGAGACGCAAGACTACTTTTCAGATGCAAGCCTGCAATGTTTTTGAAATAAGGGGCATAGGCAAGTTTTGCAATGAACAGTGAGTTCTAGTGTATAATTCTTCCCCCCAAGATGGACAAGAGTGATGAGACACCCCACAGCAGGCTCAGCCTTGCCTGAATGATCCAATTACAGATTCTGAAATGGACCCAGGGACAGAATTTAGAAGCCTGAAATGGAAAAACAATGGAGACACAATTCTGCCACTGAGCAAATGACTGACTCCAGAATGTTCCCTGGAGAGAGAAGCAAGTTTAGAAAATATTGTGTGGGCAGTTTCCAAATGTCCCAGGGGAAATAGGAGTGACATTTCTAGACATAATTAGGGTCAAGTGGATTGGGGTTTGTCTTAGTCTGTTTTTAATTTATAATGAACAGAAAAGTATTGCTTGTTATTTTGGGGCTTGGGAAGTGCAACCTCAAGGAGTTAGCAGGTTTTGTACCTGGGGATCGGGTCTTTGCTGCCAATGCGGAACCTTGATTCCAATACTGTCCATAGGATTATAACACCACCATTCCTTGCATGACAGAAGAGAAGCAGAGAAAACTCACTCTAAGCCACTTTGCATAGTGACATCAGTCTATTCGTGAGACCACAGCTCTCATGGCCTCAACATTCTACCCCCAACACCCGACACAGGCACACTGGGGACTGCTCTCATCCCATGAACTCTGGAGAGGATTCAAGCTGTAGCCAGGCCAAGGGGAGGGAGAGGAGCTACAGAATTCCATTTGCTGTTAACCCAGATCCATGGGCAACCTGTACAAGAGAGCATAGTGCCTAGTGTCACTAGTGGAAGTAGAGGATGCAGCCCGATGTAACAAACCCAACAGCTAAGAAATGCATTCGAAGCTGTGAGTCGGGCCAGAGAAGATGGCTCCACCGGTGAGGGCACCTGCTGCCAAAGTGACAGTCTGAATTTGGCTCCAAGAACCACAGGGTGGAAGGAGGGAACTGATTCCCAAAAGTTGACCTTTGATTGCCACACGCACGCTGTGGCACAGATGTGCTTGCACATACACATACACACAAACACACACACAAACACACACTCACACACACTAATAAATATATGCAATGAAAGCTTAAAAACACTACGAGATTATTAAGATTGAGACCACTTTTTCGTTTGTTTTTGTTTTCCTTGCTTAAGAATTTTTGCTGGGCAGTGCTTGTGCACACCTTTAATCCCAGCACTCTGGAGGCAGAGGCAGGTGGATCTCTGAGTGTGAAGCTAGCCCGCTCTGCAGAGCGAGTTCCAAGACAGCCAGAGCTACACAGAGGAACCTTGTTTTCAAAATTCCAAAGATAAATAAGTGATAAATAAACTTTATACGTGTAAGTAATGCATTTTGAGCAAATCCACTTCTCTTTCCCACCGCCGCCACTTTTTCCTCACAACCTCATGTGTTCATGCTCTTTTCTGTTTGTAACCCACTGAGCCCCCTTGGTGTTAACTACACATGCACAGGTGTAGAAGCATCAGCTAGAGCATGGGTAGCCTTTCAGGGGCCAAATCCCTGGAGAAAATCGACTCTCCTTTCCCCATCAGCCCCTCCACATCCCACACTGGAATTCTGGTTGGTTTGATCTTGTGTAGGTCTTGTGGTTGCAGTCACAGTATCTATGGGTTTAGTGGCAACCGTGTCTTGTTTCTCTACAGAGGCCAACTGTCTTCAGTTCTTACAGTCTGCCCACACCTGCCTTCCATGATGACCTCTGAACCTTGGGGAAAGGGGCTGCAATACTGCTGTCTTACTCAGAAGTGAGCACTCTACAGTCTTATCCTTTGCACTTTGACCAGTGGCAGGTATCTTTATTAATTGCATCTACTGAAGGAAAAGGCCTCTCTAATAAGGACTGAAAGATGCACTACTCTCTTGATATAAAGGTAAAAACTGGGATCAGAGAGATGGTTCCCCAGTTAAGTATATATATTGCTTTCCCAGAGGACACAAGTATGTTTTATAGCACCCATGTCAGGGGCTAACAACCATCTGCAACTTCGGCTCCAGGGGATCCACCACCCTCTCTTGGCCTCCTTGGGCATGATGTTCAAGTATACAAACATACACAGGCACACACACATAATTAAAAATACGTAAATAAATTTTTAAATGATAATCAATTAGGGAACCACTATCAGATTGAAAGCATTAGATTATTCCTGAAGACTATGACCTAGCTAGTCACTTGTCTTAGGCCCAGTTAATGGTACCAGGCATGAATTCCATCTTAAGAATCAGGACTTAAATCCGATGAAAAAAGTGGCTGTTTACTCCCATAGCTTCCATGCCACTATTGCACCTGTGAGCCTATCTTTTTAGATCAGTTGCTGTCATTCCCTGGGTTCACAGTGGAATAAAACTGTGGATTGTTTTTCTCCCCCAGAAGCATGCTCAGTACTTTTCAACACTTTTAAAGCAAGAGAATAGAGATGAAACTTTCAAGTCAGTATCGTCTTGATTTATCTATGTCCTTTGAGTCTAATGTGTGTTGGCTTTAACAATAGAATCTTACCATCAAAGAAGGGTAATCAAGAGCAATAGCCATAGGCTGTAGTGTGTGTGTATGGGGGTGCTCTATAGGACTCCACTGACAACTATAAAAGTGGTAACCAATATCAGGCACTAGACTTTTTATTTGATAGCTTAAGATGTCTTGGGGGAGTGTTGTCCTCCCATTATAGAGCTTTTAAGTAGAAAATTGCCCTTATATATGTATATGCATAAATTTTAGGAAACTTATAGAGCAGCTGATTTTCATATAACTTTTTCAAAGGTCTTCAGTGTTAGTTATCTTTTCCCATACTGCCCCCTCTACCCTTGCTCTCCAATTCCCTACGTCACTAAATTCTTCCTCTTCTATTTTTCCTCTTCCCTCTTCATACCACCTACATTCTAACCCCTTTCCCTTGAACATCCTCCCCAGGCTCCCTACTAATTTACTGCCTCCTATGGGTGCTCTAACTTAAACACACACATATAAAGTTTCAAATCTAGCACTCACATATGAGAAAGAACATCTGGCCTTTGCCTTCCTCAATCTGGATTACCTCATTCCAAATGATTATCTCTAGTTTCATCCATTTACCTGCAAATTTCATGGTTTCATTTTTCTTTAAAGATGAATAATGTTTTATTATATATATGTACGTTTTCATTACACATTAAGCCATTGATAGACATCTAGGTTGTTTCCATTTCCTGGCTATTGTGACTGCAGCAACAGTGACCACGGGTAAGCAAATACATTGGCAATAGGATACAGTCTTTTGGGACCATGCCCAGGAGTTGGTTCATATGATAGGTCTATTTCTAGCATTTTAAAAAGCAGCCACATTGTTTCCACTGTGGCTATATCAGTTTGCATTCCCTTTGACCGTAAATAAGCATTTCCCTTCCCCCACACCCAAGCCAGCATGTGTTGTTATTTTTTAAATTCTTATCAATTCTGATATCCACTCTGACTTGGATAAGATGAAATCTCAAAATAGTTTTAATTTGTATTTTCCTGCTGGGTAAGGATGTTGAACTTTTTTTTAAAAAAAAAAAATACATCTTGGCCATTTGCATTTTTTCTTTTGAGAAATCTCCTTAATTCCTTGCCCAATTTTTAAATGGTTTGTTTGTTTTCTTGATGTTTATTGGGACAAGATTTTTTTCACATTGTATCCTAGTGATTAATGTAGAGAATGCATTCAAAGTTAATGATTTGGCTTCCCTTCGAAGATAAAATTAAAGTATTTTTTTTAAAGTTTATTAAAATATAAAAGTTTCCATTTTCGCCCCTCCTCCCAACACCCTCCCACTCCCCCCACTCCCTCTCCTCTTCCCTCTCCATCCCTAAGAGCAGTCCAGGTTTCCTGCCCTGTGGGTAGTTCAAGTTCCTCCCCGCTCCCTCCAGGTCCAGGAAGGTGAGTATCCAAACAGACTGGATCCCCAAAAATCCAGAATATGCAGAGGAAACAAGTTCCAGAGTCATTGTCAATGGCTTTTTAGAAAGACTTCGGGTCAGCCACATTCAGGGAATCCAGCCTCCTCCAGAGAATCTGGTTGGATCACGTGCTCGTTCAGTCTCAGTCAACTGGCCTTGGTGAACTCTCATTAGATCAGTCCCCTTGTATCAGTGGGTGATCGCTCCCCTTGCGGTTCTGATTTCCTTTTTCATGTTCTTCCTCCTTCTGCTCCTCCTTTGGACTTGGGGGGCTCAGTCCGGTGCTCCAATGTGGGTCTCCGTCTGCATCGCCATCCATCGCCGGATGAAGGTTCCCTCTGATCTTGCCCTCCCTGCTCACATTCTTCTTCCTTCTGCTTCTCGCTTGGACCTAGGGAGTTAAGTCCAGTGTTCCAACGTGGGTCCCCGTCTCTATCTCCATCCATTGCCAGATCTCTCTGGGAAGAGCTCCTCAGCAGCGCATCAGGGCTAGCTGGTCTTCCCTGAACCCAGGAGACCAAAAGCAAAGTATTTAACACAGAAGATATTGAAACAGTAGCTCCTTGACAGGAACCATGTAGAAGTTTTCAAGAGTCTTTGGGATGTGATTAATTTAGCTGTAGTGATTTGATAAAGATATTTTCCCCCTAATCTTGGCATTTTAACAATTGCTGGCATTGTTC